ATCATGAAAACATAAAAGGATATAATGAATACTGTATAAGAATCATAATCAACAGGTTTTATAATAATGAGAATTTAAATACAGTAACACCCAGCTTAACACGGGAGATACGTCCCTAGACTAAACGAAACAACGCTAAACGAGGTCATTTTAACACAGAGTAAATAGTGAAAGGGGAACACGCAACCAAAAATAAACAAATTTTTATTTTGATGATATGAAACCGTGCTTTGCAATTCGTTTATGCTTCTAACACAATAAAGTGCTATAAATTAAGACACTTGGCGGGTTGTCTCAACTAAATAAAGATGAGACAACCCGCCAAGTGTCTTAATTTATAGCACTTTATTGTGTTAGAAGCATAAACAAATTTTTACTTTAATTTTAAGTTATTTTTATATTAATTCGCATAATGATATATGTTAAATAACACAAACATATGCACACAGAAATGTAAAGTTCATTTTTTGTGACGAAGATCCTGACTTTTCTGAAATTCGCGTTTTTGCAATAAAGTCGTGAAATTTCTTAAGTAAATATCGGTATCAGAAGATCGATCCAAAACGCCTCGTTCTGCTTTTGCACTCCTTTCAAAACCTGGATCGTTCGCTACAATTTGATCAACGATTTCAGTTATGGTTACCAAACTTTTACTAAGGAAATCTGTAGAGAAATTCTTCGGGTTCTTTGTTTTCAGAATCACTATTTTCCAGTTCTACACAAATTCCTTGTTCTGCCAGTTCTTGAAGGTCGTCGTTAGTGAAAACCAGAAACCTGCAGTAACTCCTCAATATGCTGCTCGTCTACATCTCCTAGTCATGCTGTATTGATTATGTTGACAATTTGGTCAACCTAACGATACAGCGATAGGCTCTTCTCGTTGAGAATTCTTGGATACATTCAGCCATAACTTTCCCACACTTCGTTCATGCATTTATCAGTTAATTCTTGCCAAGCGAAGTCAATATTGTCTATGGCATCCATGATGTCACATTTTTTTTCCAAAATTGCACCAAACAAACATAAACATAAGGAAAGTACAGGGCTACAACGAATTTCCACCTTTTGCTGATTGGTTCGTGTTTGGGAATAATCGTATTATATACGAATCAATGAAATTCCGTGATAATTTGAATCGGAGTAAATTTTGAGCTTTTTTTAGACTTCGAGCAGACCGCATTATATCGAATCTGCGTTAAGCGAGATCTTACTGTAATATGGTTCTGACCACTTCAACACACAACAAAAACAGTAAAGATCTTAAATATGAATTTTGTCTCAGAATTGAAGGAATCAATTTTACAAGGCCTGAAGCCAATCAAAGCGACTAAGAGTAGTTTCCATACATTATCTCGGAAAATAAATATTTATGAAGTCTCAGGTAAAACTGCTCAAAAATGCTTTATTTTACATAAAATAAATACCAACAAAAACTGAAAGGAATTTCTCCATTTTCGTAATTTTTGTGTCAAAACAAAAGCCCACTTGTCATGTAAATCAATAGTCTGTTTGTGTGTATTAAAAAGTTATTTTAATAAAGCCTTTTATTAAATGTAGAAATAAAAACAATTAATTTTTAAATATTTAAAAAACTAAATAAAGGTAAATATAAAACAATCTTATATCTTCTAGTCCTACTTTGTTTGGTTTCTTCTGCATCATTTTTTTCTAATTAATTTATTTTATAAATAATCAACTTTTTTTACATCTCGAGATTCTTGAGAATCCAAAAAGTTTGGGAAAATATAATTCCTAGTCACAATAAACAAACCAAGAATGTACAAATTTTACACTTACATGCTGAGAAATGGTCATGAAAATTTTATTAACATTTTTATTTTCAGTAATTATGTTTCAGTTGGAGCACAAAACTTTGCTGGCATTATCTCACAAGATTGCATGTGTGATTCAAAGTTTGAAAAAGTAAATGATAGTAGAATGAGGGACCAAATAGGTAAATTTGAATAAAAAGGCATAGCAGATCATAGCGAGAAAATATGTACAAATGTTTTATAATTTTGTGTGTCTATGATTTTTAATTTTAATTAAATATTTTAAATCAAATGGTTTTTGTAATTATCTTTGCTAACTAATATTGGAGAATTTGACAGAGGAACATTTTTTTTGGGTTAAAGTTGCATCCATTGCATATGCTTCCAAAGATTTTGTGACCTATAGTTTAAGAAGCCTTGCCTTTTGCTAAGGTTTATTCTGAAATTTATAGGCTGCTTTATTTTTAATTTAAAATAATTATTATAACTGAAAGTAAATTCAGTACTTTCAGTTGAAAAATATGAAAAAAATTATGTAAAATATATCCAGTTGACATTTTTGTTACAAGAAATAATCTAATATCATACATTACAAAATGCATTTTCTTTTCATTTCAATTTCATGATAAAACTAATAATCTAAGCATTTTATATATTTCCAAATATCAAAACATTTGAATTGTAAAAGTCTTCATCATAATAGATATCTTTTATGTAAGTAAAACAATGTATTTTATAAATTTTTTCTCTTGGTATTAGATGTATTATAAACCAGTGGTTCCCAACCAGTGAGGCACAAGCCAATGCACGCAATGCTATTCAGTGCATGACTGATGAGTAACTATGTGGATAAAAATGGACAAACACAATGTGACAGCCCTCTAAAAGCAGATGATATTTTTCATTGCTTTCTTATTTGTTTTCTTCATCGCATAAATAACACTCATTGAGACTGTCATAATAAATCTTACTCTACTAACTAAACTAAACCAATTGTCTTGATATTTAGAATGGACCGCTATTTGAAGAGAACTATGAGAAATGCAGAATCTTCAGACCAAAGTGAACCAAATAATAGTAATGGAGAAAGAAAAGTGCAGGCAATATGACACAAGTTATATCAAGTTCGGATTTTCTTGTTTTCGTAGCAAATCTGGCATTCAACAGTTCCAGTGTGTCATTTGTTTTTAAGTTCTCGTCAACAACAGTCTTAAAAGATGTCTAGAAATAGTGCTCAAAATGTACACAAGGATCATGAGTTTTTTGCTTGAAAAGAGATGGAATTGAAACTGCAGAAAAATGTAATGTCAAAAGAGGCCAAGGTATCACAGGAAGCATTGAAAGCTTCTTACATAGTGACTATGGAAATCACTAAATGTATGAAATCGCACAATATTGCTGAGAATTTGTTGCTTCAGACAACTTTAGAAATGTGTCACATTATGAACAGAGAGGCAGCTGTAAAGACATTACAAACTATTCCACTGTCAAATAATACAGTTTCATGGCAAATCGATGACTTGGCTATGGATTTGAAAACACAGTTAATTCAACAAGTAAAATAAAGCCAAATATTTACATTGCAACTCAATGAATCAACCGATATTTCATCACAGGCTCAACTTATATATTATGTGAGATAAGCCATGGAAGGAAATATAAAAGAGTTACTGTTTTGTAAAACGATCCCAACAACAACTTCAGGAGAAGACATATTCTTACTTAATGAATTTGTCTATGCTGAAGGCTTGACTTAGATTGATTGTATAGGTTTATGCACTGCCAGCGCTGTAGAAGAATAGATGCCTTGTAACTAGAGTGAAAGCTGTAGCTCCGGCAGTAAAATGGCCTGTGTGTGGGACTGAGAGAGAACCAAACATCAATTGTTTTGTGCAATTCAAAAGAAGCTTAAATTTCACATTGATGTTTACAGTTTGTGGAAATATGGAAAACATTCTTTTTTAATTTACATTATTATAACTTTATTCAGAAGAAATAAATTCCTGGTTGTACACTATGTACAAATATTACTTATTTTATTTGTGCAAAGTACTGAGGTAAGTATATTTGTATTTTTAGTAGTGCAATTGTATTTTTCTTCCATATTTTCAATCAAACTTTACCGATATTATTTAATTTGTAACAAAAAACAAATAAATACTGAATACAGAGCAATAAACACTTATGCTTATGCTGTGGGAGGCAACATTGCATGCGAGCCCCGATTGGGGAGGCATACTGTAGAAAAGGTTGGAAATTGCTGTTATAAACCAATCCCAAATGAATATCTAATTAAGAGATTCCCAATCCATTTCTAAAAATTAATTTCTCTTGGTTAATTTAACATATGGTAAGGAACTTAAATGTTGGTCATTTTCAGAAGAAATACTACCATATCTTATTAATATTTCATGTAAATGACAGTAAAATTTATTTTTTAAGTATTGTTTACAGGATTCATGTGTATGAAAGATATGGAAAGAAATGAATATATTGGCAACTGAAAGAGAAATAACTATATTAAAATTTCTTAAGATATATAAAAAAATTAAAAAAGTAACAACAATCTGGAAAAGGAAGTAATTATAATAATATTACAAGATCAAATCCCAGCTACTAGAAAGATTGAGACAAAAGATATTAGCAGAATCTGTTTAAATTTTATAGAGAAATCTTCAATATATTATTGTAAATTAAATTTACAGAAACAATTTCTTTCTAAAAAGTTTCAGCAATTTTCAATTTAAATGTATTAACATATTTGATTATTTTAATATTTCAATATCAAAATAATAAAATATACAGTATTAAGACATTTATTCAGTTTATTTCATTAAGAACATTACAATTAGCAAATATTCTATTTTTTCTGTTCCAGAAGGTAAATTCTTAATGTGAATGAGCTGAAATAAATTTGTTTTTTTTTCTATATATTTAACTCCTTTTAAAGCTATTTTATGGTTTAATGAAGTATTAGAAGTTAAACAATCAATAGAAAAAGTTTGTTATGAAATCAAGGTTAAAGATAATTACTTAGATTATATATAATCTTCAAGATTAAACACAGTTTTCAAATATAATTAATTCCTAAGCTAATGTCAGATGAGTGTGAAAATGCACGAACACTGTTTTTTCCATTCTATAAGCTTAATGTATCTCAACAATTACGTTAAGCTTATAGAAACAATGTTGTCAAATGTATAAAATTTAAACAAAATAAATTCTTACGTTTCATCTAAAAATGCCAATCCAAAATATTCTTTCTCTTTTAAGTTGAAGTAGGAAGCTACCATGTCCAATAATTCTCCTGCATAGAGTTTTGGCTAAAAATTAATAAAATATATTAAAAATATAATGACATCCAACAGATTCAAAGTTCATATCATATTCAGTATACAATTTTAATATATTTATAAAATTATATTTCTAGTTTTTTTTATATTGATGTTGCTTACATTGATTGATAGCATGATTTATATGATTCTTTTCCTCTATGATTATCATTCAGAAGATAGAAATATACACTCAAGTCTAAAAAATAAGCATAACCATTAAATTGACCTATATCACAGGAACTGCTGATCAGAACACAATGTTCTGCATGTATCTCATGCATCAAAACAATTGAAGAATACAAATTTAATCTAAATTACATTGAACCAAAAAATCTGAGCATCATCCTGAATCTTTTTATATAAAAGATCATTAATAGCATGTAAGGTAAATGCACCGGTAGTGGAGACTACATGAGTAGTGGACACTTTGAAATTCAAATATGAGTAATAATGTTGTAGATTCACTATTCAACTATTCAAACATACAAATCATTCAGTACACAGAAGTTTTGTCTACTGAATAATTTGTATGTTTGAACAGTGAAGCCATCTACAATCTACAACCTTATTACTCATATTTGAAGTTCAAAGTGTCCACTACTCATGCAGTCTCCACTACTGGTGCATTTACCTTAGTTACCTCCTGAATCCACATATGCTGTACAGCAATTGCTCATGTTGGTTATTATGTTCTTTACCAGTTCTGTTGGGAGCAAAGTACATTCTCAAACAAGAGTATCTTCAAGATCTGGAGTGTTCTTGATGGATGCTGATGGGACATATTTTGTCTCCCTATCAATATTCCATACATGTTCTATGAAATTTAGTTCTATAGATCTTTATATATACTAAGTAATTTGCACTAAAGGTAGGTGTTAGGTGCCATCTCTTGCAAAATTTTATACTTATAATTAAATTCATATTTTAATAATTAATATAGCCCATTATAATTCTGCAGTCATTTGGCTTTAATATATAATTTTCTGGAGATCTTGTTGGCCATTCCATACAATGAATATTGTCATTGTCAGAAAGTCAACATTGGCAAATACAGTTTTATGTGCAAGAGAAATATCATCTATAAAAATGTAATCTGTACCCAAAACACCTTGGAAAAGTCTTGCATGGTGTTCAAATGTCAACTCTGCCTTCTGGCAATAATGGCATGCGCTTGCAAAAATATGGAGCTCAGTGTAGCCATTAACAATAATGATCTTCCAGACTATGATACCACCACTTGCAAACTGGTCTTTTTCCACAAACTGTACCAGGTTCCCCACTTTCTCCAGATGTTAATCCAACAGGATTAACTCTGCAGACTATTTGAACTCATCATTAAACAAAACATTGTTTCATTCTACTGAAATCAAATTTTAATATTCTTACAGCCATCAAACATTCTTCTGTTATGATATACAGGGTGGACCAAAAAGAATATAC